ATTACAGGTTCTAACAGTAAAGAAATCCACATCTTAATTAACTTGAAAGAATACCCAGACTCTCACAGAGCAGAGCAGTTAACACCTTGAAAGTTTTAATATAAGGCTTGTTTTTTTTTTTTTTTTTTTTGCTATAGGGAGCATGCGCTCGCCAGCCAGCCAGAGACAGAGACAGAAAGTGAGAAATCACGCCCCAGGGGGGATGACCTCGCCGCATTCCCCTCTCCATTCTCTTCTCGGGATCTTGGGCACGCACACACACGCGCCCGGTGTGAGTTTGAGTCACCGGGTCTGGGACGCGAACTGCGGTCAACTACGTGGGAGTCCAGCGACAAGCCATTATGTCAACTGCTGGTCCCCAAGGCTTGGTTTTATAATGTGTTTCTCTGAACTATTTTCATCTGCACGCAAGTTTAGAAAATTGTGTTTTTCTATTCCTACATTACCGAACAGATTTCCAAGGGAAACTGGCGTCATAAGACAGCAGGCCATGCAAACTTGGAAGGCGGGAAACCTGCCTCGGCCCCCAGAACGTGATGGCAGGCACATACCACCTCTCAGGGATTCTTCCTGAGTGAAAAAGGTAACTTGTTTGTAAGAATGAAATACTTTGTTACCAACTTTCCTCACCTTTAGACTACACCAAAGCCTGCATAATCAGAGTGAAGTTCTAAAGCCAAGCCCAAAGACATTTTGGAGGAAGTTCTCTCAATTAATTGAAGCTAAATTTGGGCCCAGGATTGCCCCCTAATGGTCACCTCTTAGAAATGAAACCTCTGTGAGCACTACTGACTTTGCAAACTCAGTTTCTACTCTATCAAAAAAGTTCACAGAAGGCTGGGGAACCAGCAGTTAGCGTAATGGCTATGTCGTTGAACTCCCACGTAGTCGACCACGGTTCGTGTCCCAGACCCGGTGGCTTAAAACTCACACCGGGCGCGTGTGCGTGCGTGCCCAAGATCCCGAGAGGAGAATGGAGGAGAAGGGATTGCGGCATGACCATCCCCCCTGGGGGGTGATTTCTCGCTTTCTGTCTCTATGTCTCTCTCTGTCTGTCTGGTGAGC